TCATGCGAGCATCAGCAATGACTTACATGGGTTTTGCTCGTACCACGCGAATCATGCGATGAATTTAAAAACACACAGAAAACTTAAAAAATCAAACAAAATCCTTTGATGCGATCAGATGTCTTGATTCACGTGATTGATGAATCAAATTGCTTTTACCATGTAAGAAATGTTAGAAATTTTATTTACACGTGGCGATATTAATTAATTAATTTTATATTTTAAAATTAATCGGGTTAATGGATATTCTAATATTATTATTGTAACTAGCCCATTGTGATCACATTAAATTGAGTTTCTGGCATTTGTTGTTATTAAACCTAGTTGGGCAGCAATGTAGGCTTTAGTGTGGCCCTGGTTTTTCATGATGAGTGGACCTAGTGGGCACAGACTCTTCTGTGAGTTATTAGCTAGGTCCCCTCTCTAGTCTATTTATATTGGAGTTAAATTCTATAAGCCATCATGCTCTCATCGCTGAAGCTGCCACTTTCGAAATAGGTAATAGAGAGAAAGATCTTGACATGTAGTCACCTTTTATTACGACTTTGTGATGACCCAACAAGTTACGCAGAATCCCAATCTTGATTTCATATTGTTTGGTATTTTATAATTATACATGATCCTAGAATTTTAAATCTTACAAGAAAATGATACTTGTATTAAAATTTTTGAACTTACTCCTGCCGCTAGGAGAACTGCTTCCCATACAACCATGAACCACCAACACAAGCCATTAATTCAGATAATTTTCTCATCGGATATTTATAAAGGAACATGTTTTGGATTCTTATGTGCTCTACTTTTTGAATATATCCACCGGTTCATTGATTATTTAATTAATTCAGCATTCTTGAATATTTTTTGAATATATCTACTGATTCATTGATTATTTAATTATTTCGAGCATTGTTGAATTCAACATAGGGGTGACTCTTTCGTGACCATCCCCTCTACTCAAAGGTCTTAAATTCCAAACCTAAAAAAAACTACTTATTACTTAAACCAATGATTATTGATTTATGTGTTCTGCTTTGAATAAACAAAAAAATGTCCATATCAGTATTATTTCCTTGATTCTCTTGTCTCTTGTTCAAATCATCTGCTCAGTTGTTCTATCTCGCACTGAACATAACAAAAACATTGATTTTGACAAATATGAAAGAAGAAGAAGAAAAAAAACGCGAAAAGCGAGCCTAGTACGATTTGGAAAAACAAAAATAAGCTCAATTATTAATGTGAATTTTTTATGGAGTAAATTAGGAGCTTCAATTGATAATATTTTTTAAAATATGTGTCCACTTTCTGCTGTTTGAGAAAATAATCCAATATCATCAGGTTTCAGGAAAATGATAGCTAGAAATTTCTCAGTTTTATTATTTTAGTCCAAAACAAAATTGAGCATATCGTTTACTAACGATTCAATAATTGAGTTTGCTATAGTAAGTGAACTATTTTCTATTTAAGGATCAATAAAGGGCAGAAAAAATTAATTTAATATTTTTTAATAAATTAATTACGCATTTATTATAGTTTTGGAAATAATTACACATTTATTGCATAATAAGACGTCAAATTTGGGCGTCACCAATGACGCCTAAATTGGGCGTCACTCAAGAGGCAATAACGCCTAATTTAGGCGTCACTCATTAGATGTTGACACGTGTCATATTTTTTTCTAAAAAAAATAATAATTTAATCATAAAACTTCTGAAGGCCATAACTTTTGACTCGGGTATTCAAATCAGGTAATTCTTTTTTTGATTCCACATAACTTTTCGAGATCTATGCAATGACATCTCATTTGACATATTTTATTTCTCACAAACACAATTTTAATTTGCAAGAATGGTATTATAAGAGCGGTTAAACGCAGAAACCTCTGAGTTCTGAGTTTGTGATTTAATATAAAAAATAAATAAAATTTTGATTTGTGATTTAAATTTTTTTTATAATAAATTTTTTTTATTATAACAAAAATTTGGTTTGTGATTTAAATTACAAATAAAAATAAAAAATATTATTAATAAGGAAAACAAAATAAAGATTTGATTTGTGATTTAAACTAAAAAATCAATTTGAAAAATCTGTAGAAATAAAAGAAATAATTAAATAAATATTTTAAATATCTAAGGAAGAAAGATATTATTTTTGAAATTAATGATTAATGCTATAAGTTTCTGGGTTATTATTCGTGGTTTGAAATTAATGATGGCTTATGAATATTTTTCAAAATTAAAATTACCTAAATTAGGCGTGATTGTCTCTTGATTAAAACCCAATTTAGACGTGATTGTTGACACGTGTCACATTTTTAAACTCAGAAGTCTTTCAGTTCTGCATTTGTGATTTAATATAAAAAATAAATCAAGATTTGATGTGTGATTTAAATTAAAAAATTAAAAAATTATTTTTATTATAAAAATTTTTTTGTTTGTGATTTAAATTAAAAATAACAATTATTATTAATAAGGAAAAAATATAGATTTGATTTGTGATTTAAACTCAAAAATCAATTTGAAAAATCTGTATTAATAAAGAAAATAATTAAATAAATATTTTAAATCTCTAAGGAAGAAGGATTACTTGATTTAAATTTAAATTATGTTTGTGAGAAATAAAATATATCAAATGAGATGTCATTGCGTAGATCTCGAAAAGTTATGTGGAATCAAAAAAAGAATTACTTGATTTGAATACCCGAGTCAAAAGTTATAGCCTTTAAAATTTTATAATTAAATTAGGCGTGATTGCCTCTTGAGTAACGCTCAAATTCGGCGTCATTGGTGACGCCCAATTTCGGCGTCATTGGTGACGCCCAAATTGAACGTTTTATTATGCAATAAATGTGTAATTATTTTCAAAACTGTAAATGCGTAATTAATTTATTAAAAAGCATTAACTTAATTTTTTTGCCATCAATAAAGGCTAAGTAACCTTATCTCTCTTCTTATTTGTTACATTTGCTATTTATATTCGTTTACTTTTGGATTTTGAGTTATTATGGCTCTAACTGGTAAAATTACTAATGAACTTGGCATCAAGACACCTGCTGCAAAGTTCTTCAACCTCTTTTCGAAACAACTTCACCATGTTCAAAACATCACTGATAAAATTCATGAAGCCAAAGTCCATCATGGCGACGATTGGCATGGCCCTGATTCTGTTAAGCATTGGACTTATACTATAGGTAATTAATTAATGGAAAAAAGGAGCGTCCTTTTCTCTCTCTCTTCAAAAGCGATGTCTGTGCTGACATGTGTTAAGTCTCTGAAAAGAGACTATAACTTTAATTGGGCTGACTATAATTTGAGTTAAAAAGAAATAGTGAGGTCCTTTAATTGTATTATTTTTACCTAATACTGTAAAAAATACCTTGTGGGCTAATTTAACTTTTTGTTACAGATTTATCAAAGCCCAAAGCCCAATTTAAAAGCCAATCTCAACATCTGTTGCATTAGGACAACATTGAGAAAAAACAAAGACAGCAAGGACAAAGCTTGAAAAGTAAAAAGAAAAAAAAAAAAAGGGTAAAACTTTCGATGATGATTACCCATTTCTCATAAGAAAGAATCCCCAAGGCCCAATCTACCCCTCTCTCTTTCAACTTCTTAGACACCTCCAATCTCATCACTAGGCCTCATCTCACCACAGCCCAGTAATCCAACCTTCATTCTGCTCTCAACCAAAAGTTTATCCCAACCCACATTCACAACAAGAAAAAAAAAAAAAAAGACTAAAATCCCATCTGTCATCGTTTTGGAGGAAAAGCTAGGAACGAGGTTTGTACGCAAATAGTGGATTTCAAGCGTTGATTTGTTAGTGGTCCTAGGCAAAAGACGTACGTGTAAAGAAGGCCCAAGATGCTGCTGCGTGTGAAAGATGAGAGAAATCATCATCAGTGCATGCAAAGGAGAGGAAAATAAAAGAGAAACAAGGTGCAAAGAAGTGGCGTCTTCAGTCTTTAGGGTATTACTTGTTCCTTTGTTTTTCCTTTGTTCTTAAAGACACTTTTCTTATTTATATTCTGTTTTCTAGAAGCTTATAAACATAGCCCACCTTTTGGTGTGGCATGTATGAAGATTATAGATGTTAATTTCTGTTTTGTAATTTTTCTTTACTGTTTTGATGCTCATAATCCTATGGTTATAAGCTAAACTTTTTTAAGTAATGAATCAACTTCTATTAGCATGTAGGACAATTATATTTACATTTTGTTTTAAAAAAAAATTGAGATTTTTCTGCCACTAGAAACTACAAGAAAAAAGTTTATTTGTGACGAAATTTTTTATCATAAATGACAATTTTTGACACAAATAATTAAATTTTATCACAAATAAACTTGCGATGCAGGAATTTGTGACGAAATTTACTTGCGACGTAGGAATTTATAACGAAATTTCATAAAACTTCGTCACTAATAAAAAAATTTCTTGTAGTGATCGGATACCGTAAAAAAGAAAATAGAAATGGATTTTGACAAATATTAATAGAAGAAGAAAGAACCCGGAAAGGCTTCCTAATATGCTGCGTAATACGATTTGGAAAAACAAAAAATAAAAAAGCAGCTCAATTATTTTTGTGAACTTTCTATCATGAGTTATAAGGTGCTTCAATTGATATCCTTTTTTTAAAATATATGTCCACTTTCTACTTTTTGAGAATATAATTCAATATCAACGTGAAAATTTTAATTCTCAGTTTTATTATTGGAAAGGATCTAACTTATGTACTTTCACTTCCTTATAACTATATATTCTGAAAAAGTACAATTTTAATATTATAATTATATATTTTTTGAAATATATAATTACAAAAGATTAAAAAAATATAACTTAGCTCCTTTAAAAAGACAAACTATTTTCCTTCTATTATTTTGACCCAAAGCAAAATTTAGCAGATCGTTAACTAATGATCCAATAATTGAGTTTGCTATGTTAACTTCTTCTTTTCTTTTCTTTTCGTTTCCTATTTAAGGACCAATAAGGCTGCATAAGCTTCAGTATCTCTCTCCTTATTTGTTACATTGCTACTTCTTATTTTCAGTTTGGCTCTCGAGTCATTCATGGCTCTCACTGGTAAAATTACTACTGAATTTGGTATCAAGACACCTGCTGCAAAGTTCTTCAACCTCTTCTCGAAGCAACTTCACCATGTTCAGAACATCACTGATAGAATACATGGAGGCAAGGTGATTCAGGGTGACGATTGGCATGGCCCTGATTCTGTTAAGCATTGGAGTTATACCATAGGTAAGCTTATCAATTATTATGTTAACCAAAAAGGATTAATTAAGTAGTTATTTTTCATTCTTCTATTCATATGCCATTTGTTATTGATTTTTTATATTCTCAAAAACACAGACGGTAAGGTTGTTACATGTAAGGAGAAGATTGAACATCTTGATGAAGAGAACAAGTCATTGACATTCAATTTCTTTGAAGGGGATATCGATCAACATTACAAGATCTTTAAGCTCAACCTACAAGTGATTGACAAGAGCGGTGGGGGTTCAACTGTTAAATGGACTATTGAATATGAGAAGATCAATGATAATGTTGAACCTCCTTATGGCTACTTGGACCACTTAACCAAGCTTACTAAAGACTCTGATGATCATCTTCTCGGAGCATAGTTTCGTACGTTATAAGAAAAAAATAATGGGACTGGCTTGGATGCTGAATAGTCGGTGTCACTATGATATGAATAAGAAGGATGCATGTTTGTTATGTTTGTTTCTTCATCGATGAATGTCTTTAAATTTAGTGAACTTAATTGGACATGTATGTTATCTATAGTTGTGTGTATTGAACTATATGTATGTTGAAGTTTCACTGCAATAAAAATAAAAATAAAATATTTACGTTTGATCTTATTTTGTTTTCTTCAAAGTTTGATTATCCAAATCCTCACCAGAGGGACTGTATAAATTTCGGAAAACAACAGTTCCAGAAGTTGTTTTGATATCAAGCTCCTAATTACACATTAATACAATTGATAATCATTTTACCTACCGCTAAAGCTTTTGTATTGAATTTGTTTTTACATAGTATCTGAATCTCTTTGATCGTGGTCACGAATTCGACCCTTGTTATTCTTATTCTATTAATAAATAATTAAATATTTTGAAATTTCTTAATATAAATACGAACATGATGTCTTACTCATTTTTTAAGTCTAATGAGCTTTATGTAAAGGGATGTGTTAAGAAAAATATAAAGACCATTTGAAAGGCCTTCACTTTAACAGCTTAATTTTTTTTTAGGTGATGGACCTTCAATAATTTTATATTATATCATTCTAATAGACCTCTTACACAATAGCTCTTTGAACTTAAAGTGCGGATACACAAATACATACTTTTATTTTATATTATACTGACTTAATTTCACTAAAAAAAATAGTAAGAATCGAACTTGTAATGACGAAATCACCCTACTTTTGATAAGTGGTGAACATTCAATCGTTTTTATATCATCTCTAACGACCATAAATATGATTCATTAAATTGATAAGATCAAAAATGGGATGTGGTTTCTCAATTATGAGGTATGCATAATTCGTATAGAGGCCACTAGTAGTGTTAACGGGCCAGGCCGATCGAGCTGAGCTTTGATTTTAAAAAGTTAAGCCTGTGTTTAAATGTGTCAGCTTGACCAAGCCTGTTAGCTGTTATGAATATTATTATCGGCATGTGGCCTGACTTATTTACAAAAAATAAAAGTCTGGTTTAGCCTGTTTAAAAAAAAAAAGACAACAAAGATTTATCCAAACAGAATATACAATCAACAACACTAGTAATTTCATAAATATTCATAAATTCAATGTATATTTAAATAGCATAATATAGAAAAAAAAATCATTCAAAAAGTCTGTTTAACCAATAAAATGGGGTGAAATGGATTGAGAAGAGAGATAGAGCTATTACCAGTCTGAGAGACTCTAAGGCCGAACTTTTAAATTGAAGCTTGAGGCCTTTTTATTACATGAGATTGTATACAAGTCCAAGCCTGGTTCCAACAGCCAATTTTAAACATGTAAGCTCAGGCCTTTACGAGCCGAGCTAAAGGCCCCCCTGGTTCGTTTATCACCCCTAGAGGCCAAACTTGGAAATTGCTTTTTAGCTCTGACAATACTAATTGTTGCAAAGTGGGGTCATGTGATGAGAGAATTGATCATGATACTTTCTTCGAGTCGAAGGTGTGCATTATTGCAACCAATGTTTTAAAACTCGGACCGGTCATCGACTCGGTCAAGGTACTGGGTCACTGGTTCAACCGGGTTCAATCGGATTTACTGTTCACATATTAAAAAAATATAAACATATTACTTATATTAAAATTTCACACAAGAAAACTATCAATGACCTTCAAAAAATAGATTGGTTCTTAATGATAGCAAATATTATATACTTCTAAGCTTCTAGCTTTAGACCATATCCTAATATTGGATTAAAATTGCAATGTAAGCTAAATGCACCTTTTTTGCCTTGACATAGCACGGATAAATTAAATCATGATAGCAAATAGTAGGTATGAAATATACACTAAGGAGAAAGTGTCCACCGTTGAGATGAGACCATCAGTGTTTATTCCCACTTAACTTCTTAAGATCATTATAAGATGCAATTAAATTACATAAACAAATTGCACTAATCCAAAATACGTTCTTATTTGCACCTTACTTATTAATCATATTTACCACAAACTATAAAAAAGATTTAATTCAAGAGTTTTCATCAATCAAAAAAAAATTTACCAAAAAGAAAAAAAAAAGGGTCAACCGATCTAACCCAGATCACTGAGTCGCAGGATCTCGGTCAAATCAACCAGTCCAAACCGAGTTGACTGCAAAATCGATTCAAATGACCACTCAGACCGAGAAATCGGCCGAATCTCCAAGACCTGGGTCGACTCAGCCGATCCGACCCATTTTTTAAAACACTGATTGCAACCAAAGTTTGGGTATAACAGTAAGGATAGAACATGAGTGATTGAGCCACAAAATTTTGTGTTTTTAGTTCTTTTGATGACAAATACAAAACATTAAATATTTTGTGATATAAATAAATAGAATAACACAATTTACTTTTTTATTTCTTCATCAAACATGCATTATTTGATTAATTCAATAAAGTCCAGCGGAGCAAACTTACAAAAATGATAATATTCTTCCTACTAAATTTTTAACCTATTACTTTACCCTCAAAATTGAAATGACCCAGTTATCTTCATTGTACTTGTGGAGTATGTCTAGGTAGAGATCCCAAGCTTGGAGTTGCCGTTGCGGGCTTTTCTTAGACATTATTATATGTATATTAAATTTTGTAAGTTTTTGTATATATGTAAGATCTATATACATATTTTAATTAATTAACTAACTTATAAATGTAAAACTGTACGGATATTCTGAGGTTTTAATGTTATTTTGTTGGTTGATTGATGAAAATGATATATTTTCAAAAATATATATATTAAAATAATATAGTTTAAAAACTATTTATCAAAGTGAAATAGTTTGAATTTTTTTACTATGGACGTCACAAGCAGAACACGTGTCATCATAATGTGACTGACATATATTACAGTACTGTGGGACTCAAATGATAAAAAATGATCAAAGAATATTACTTTAGTGAATAATTTCAGGCTATATTGTGTAAAAAAATTAAAGTATATTGCTTTGATCAATCAGCCTTATTTTGTTTATAATACTTTTTCTTTCTCTTTTTCTCTTTTCACCTCACATAAGGTCACATGGGTTTTATATATTTTTGTGCGTGTGTAAGTGTGTAAAAAATAAAATTATTTCTTATGATAAAAACATTGGCAATAATCTATTTATAAATTTTTTTTTACAAACTTTTACAAATTACACTATGTATTCCCGGAAATATATTATTAATCGAGTGTACTTCCAGGAGTACATAATATATAATGTAAGAGTTTGTAAATAAAAAATTTGTAAATATAATCCTCCCTGGCACAATATGAATGATAAGATTGTATTTTGGTTATTTATGTAATGTTACTGACTTACTGTCTTGTCTACTTCAACGTAAAAATTTCTAATTTACATTACGGTAATACTTCAAGATCATTATTCATTATTTGGTTTGTGATGAGGTTTTTTTTTTTTTTTTTTTTTTTTGTATTAAGGACGAGGCAATTTTAAACAGAGCTTCCTGAAAGTTATAAATATATAGCTTCTTAAAAGTGAGATGGATCATAATCATTTGTAATATATTGAACTCATTTTTCTTGTAGATAAATAAAATTTATTTTCAAGTAGGGTTTGCAAACCCTTACCCTTTCTGATCTTCTCAATTGAACCACTTGTTGAGCCAATACCTGCTCTACCAGTGTATCCATATATATATGGTGATGGGGCAACCACTGAATTTTGTCGATGATCGACATTGTCAAGGTCTGTTTGAGGAGGCATTCTAATATTAATAGGTACAGTTAGCCTGTGGAATTGACCTGATGCTTATTACATTCCTCTTTAAACTCAACATATGTGATTGCTCACATTCACCATACACATCATCCAAAAAGAAAATAGTCTTTTTTTTTTATTCAATGACTCCAGTGTTATTTGATGGACAACAGAATCTGAATCTTCTAAAATTAATGCTGTTCCAGACAAAGAAAGATTGTCTTTGGATCAAGTTTCTTCAAGCTTCATCACTTAACTTCGGATTTCAACTTTCTCCCATACTGAGTCCCTACATCATAATTTTTTGGTTTAATTCTTCTCAAATACAACAAGCAGTCATAATTCCAGAAATTAGGCCAAATAACTTTACACATTATAATTCAATCTAAAATTTCAATCGAATTCAAAACATGTCATATTTGAAAATACACAAAACATATACGACGTATAGTCGTATAAGAATATCATAAAAAAATTTCATTGCAAAAGTAATCGTTAATCTCAATAAATAAATTTCAAGTAGAACTGCTGAAAACGTAAACACGTAGTAACAAACGGCAGCACTTGGTCCCACGCGGCACTAGTCTCGTATGGCCTCATCTTCATGGCCGAAAGTGGGCTTCCAAAAGGTGACAGTGACCAAATTGTGGTAGCTCAGTTGGTGCACGGGAGCTGAGCAGGTGGGGGTGAGGACATGTGTTCAAACCTCTTAAGTATCACTTTTGGGAGGGATTTAACATCTTAATTCTTGACATGCCTCAAATCAAACTGATCAATGAACCGATGAAATATTTCCAAAGATTAAAGAAGAGTGGACGACACACAATTAAATTCGCTGTGTCGCCAAAGCTTGGGAACTGACAAAATGAAGGGGACTTGACATTTGACAAATAAACAAAGCATACGACGACAAAATCAGCACACTTCCAAAATTTTCTATATCTCGTGTTGCAGCAGTCTCGAATCAATTGTCGGTCAAGTGGAAATGAATCTTCTCGTTTTTTTTTAAATATGACATGATTACGTGAAATAATTATAATCATATAAAAATAAATTAATAATTATAATTTAATAATTATTTATTTTAATATATTTTTCTCTCTCATCTTTTTATATAATTATAATTGCTCGAACATGATCATGTCACATCTTTTTCAATATAGAAAATTCACTTCCCGTTTCAAGTGTTGGGTATGGCTCATATTATATAATTGTAGGTCTCTGTTTTATTGTAATTTTCTTAGTAGTTTGAGCTTGGGTCGATGAATAGCTGTTGTTAGAATTTTGTAATCCTATTTATATTTGTTTTGTAAACCGAGAGACTTATAACGAGTGGCGGTGAGGTAAATATAGTACAGACAAGCTGGACGTAACCTAAATTGGGTGAACCAAAGTAAATCGCTGTGTCTATTCTCTCTTTTTTTCTTTTCTGTTTTC